TTGGGCAATCCTACTTCCGTAGTGATACTGCCTCGGAAACCCAAGGAGGGGTCGCTATGAGTCGGGGCCGACTCGACGGCACATAACAACAACAACAACACTGTGTAAACCACGTGGCAATCATTTTGTCCTTCTTGTCTTAAAATGCTCATAAACTAATAAATGAAGCAGGCAAGAAATAAAGCTTTTAAACTGAATTTACCCAAAAGTAAACCACTATCATGATAAACTGATATTCACCAACTCCATCTATATAATTTTTGCTTATCTTTTCAACTTTTATAGCCTTTTATATGACAAATATATTTTTAAGAAGAAAGAGGAAAAGACACCTCATATTGCCTACTGTTTCCCCTTACCGCTATTTCTTGCATATACTAAATCCCTGAATATACAGGGCATTCTGGTCAAAATAATGTTAATCCCACCTTCAAAACAAAAATAAGAAAAATTTAAAAAGTTTTCTTGATACATGTATATACCATGTATTATCCCTATTTTGTAGATATGTCAACAGCACTCACAGCCATCGAGTCGAACCCAATTCATAGCAACCCCTCATTGGGTTTCTGAGGCGGCATCACTACGGAAGTAGATTGCCCAACCTTCTTTCCGAGGAGAAACTGGTGGGTTTGAACCACCAGCCTTCCGGTTAGCAGTCAAATGCCTTAGGCATTATTCTATCAGAGCTCCTATGTCAACAGAGGCCCCACAGATTTCAATACCTTCCCTAATAAGTCATAGGAAGGAAACTAGAACTTAAATTTCCTGTTGCCTAGAATAATTCCCTTTTGAGCATATTAAGTACTCTGAAAATAGAATACTTACAGACAAAGTATGTAGAAGCTGTCCTGTGATGGAATTCCACACTTTCAAAAGGAAATTATTCACTGCAGTAATAACTGTAGTATCACAGCGATCCCAGGCCACCATAGTCACCTTAAGTTTGGTGACTTTGTCTTCTCCAGATGGCAAATTACTCCTAAACAAAATAATTTTAAATATTCACACTTTGTGCATTATTAACCAAGGTGCACCTAAAATAACAAATTAAAATAAAAATTTCTTCAAGAGCACACAACTCTTTAGATGGAAAAAAACCTTAAATTATACTTTTAAGTACTCATGAAAGAAAAAATAAATAAATATATCCATACAGAATAATACCCATAAACTTACTTCTGGGAGAAAAACACCCAAAATGATAACAATTTGATGTTCAAAGTTACTTGAGAACAAACTAAAATGGAAACTAGAAAGAAATATACAAAAACATGGGAAAGCAAAACACAAGGTTATGCTGGATACAAAGAAATATGAAAATATACAGATAATACTGAAAAGGAAAGCTAACACTGTGAAATATTATAAACATATCCTCAGTGAATTAGAGAAATAGGTAAACATATGATGACATTTAATAGGAACAATCCTCAAGGTAGCAAGTAGTATTGTTGCTGTTCTCATGTGCCGTCGAGTCAGAACCGACTCACAGCGACCCCCTCCTTGGGTTTCCGAGGCGGTATCACTATGGAAGTAGATTGCCCAACTGTCCTTCTGAGGAGTTTGAACCGCCAGCCTTCTGGTCAGCAGTCAAGTGCCTTAGGCACTACACTACCAGAGCTCCCAGCAAGTAGTAGAGCTAAGTATTTTTTAAATGACCTATACAAACCAAGGCAGAGAATGATTATGTGGACATCAGTAGAACACAGAGATCTCTGAGTCACAACAGAACCGAATTTTGAACGAATCAGCAAGGTTCCTATCATTTAGTCTATTAATCAATATCAAAAGGCGGTTTACTTAAGAGACTGAATACAGATGCAAACTTCACTTTTGCTAATTAACTTTAAACTATTTACTAACTTAGAATGATATTTTTTGTCGTTTAATTAAGTCAATAATTTAAACGATGTACCATACAAGAATCACTAAAATATCTAAAATCCAATCTTACCCAGTCATTTTAGTAGCCATATCTAGCACTATACTCTTCCATTCTTGCTGCTGATATTGCCAAATCCTTGCTGTTCCATCTCTACTTCCGCTAACAAATCTTAAACTGAAGAGAAAGAGTGTAAATAGCCTTCTTTTCTCCAAAATGGATATCACTCATTTTTAAATTGTGCTTTGGGTGAAAGTTTACATAACAAATTAGTTTTCCATTCAACAATATTTATACACATTTTGTTTTGTAACATTAGCTGCAATCCCATCACTGTAACAGCACTCTTTCCACTTCCTCCCTGGCTTCTCAGTATCCATCCTTCCTTTCCTCCCTTTTGAGCTTTGTTTTTGAACAATGCTGCCCTTTGTGTGTCAAATTATCAATTGTTCTAAGGAATAGTTCCTCACAAGTGTTAATGTTCACTTTATAGGCCTGTCCATTGTTTAGCTGAAAGGTGATCCTCTAGGGGAGGGTTCCGTTCCAGGTTTGAAGGGTATCAGAAGGCACAGTCTCAGAAGTTCCACTAGTCTCTATCAGATCAGTAAGCCTGGTCCTTCTTATGATTTTGGATTTTATTCTACGTATTTTTCCCATTCTGTCCAGGACCTTCTGAATCTCCATCAGAAAGCTGCCAGTAATGGTAGCCAGCCACCACCTAGTTCTTCTGGTCTCTGGGTAGTGGAAGGTGTCGTCTGAGTATCCCATTATTCCTTTGGACAAATTGTTGACTTGAATCTTTGATTTTCTTCACTCTTTTTAACTTTGGATGGGCAGAGACCAATAGTTGCATCCTACCAACTCCCTAGTTTTGAATACTCCAGTCACTAGTTACCATAGCACGATGCAGAACACCGTCTTTGTGAACTGTGTTTCACAAATTGACCTAGATGTTCCCAAGACTGTGGTCCTAAGCCTCCAAGCCCAGTTAATCTTTCCCTCAAGGTGTTTGATGAAGGCTAGGAAGTTTTCCTAACTTTGTCCCTTGTATCTTACTATATACATGGATATATTTGCAGCACATACAAATATGGATGTAGAAATATCCTCTGCCGGACCAATAAATGCTTGTGGCTGTTGTCCTGTTCACCTTCCCACACCTGTTCAGCTTGCATGTCTGCCTATGTAATCACTCGTAGATTATTGTGTTGTTACTGTTATTGCCAAATTATGTAACAGTATTTCCCTTTGTTGTCTGTAATAGTTGTATACCTCTCAGTGTCTTCCTTTGGTCATATTTTGGTGACCTCCCCATTACTGCATATTGTTTATCCCTTCACCCATTAATATGTGTCTACTGTTTACTTTTTAGACCTAGTAGCTGGCTTGCTGAATCAAATAGTGTTTCTATTTCCAATTTTTTAAGGAATTACCACACTATTTTCTGTAGTGATGGTACCATTTTACAGTCACACCAGCAGTGTGTGAGAGTTGCTATCTTTCCACAGCCTCACCAGTACCTTTTGTTTTCTGTCTTGTTGAACTTTGTTGTTATTGCCAGGGTGAAATGATATCTCGTTGTTTTGATTGCATCCAATGGCTAACGATAGCAAGCATTTCTTCATGCCTTTGTTGGCTGGCTGAATGTCTTCTTTGGTGAAGTGTCTGCCCATGTCTCTGCCCATTTCATAAGTAGACTGTCTTTTGGTTGTTGAAATGTTAAAGTTTTGTATAAACTTTAGAAATTAGTTCCTTGTCATGTACATTGTTGCCAAATACTTTTTCCCAGTTGGTAGATGGATATCACATTTTTATGATTCTAAAAGTAGTATGTTCATCTTTGTACAATGCTGGTGGGAATGTAAACTAGTGTAGTCACTTTGGAAACAAGTCTGGCAGTTCCTCAAAGATTACTCAGAATTACCACATGACCAAGTAATTCCATTCCTAGGTTTATACCCAAGAGAAATGAAAATATGTCTACCCAAAAATACACACAAGTGTCCAAGCAGCATTATTTAAAACAGCCAGGATGTGGAAAGAATCCAACTGTCAATCAACTGCTAAATGGATAAACAAAAAGTAGTATAATCATACAATGGAGTATTGTTCAGCAATAAAAAGGAATGGCATAACTGACACATGCCAGATCATCACTACATTCTCTAACAGAATTTTTATACTTGGCCCACATGACTAGAGAAATGTCACTGTTTACATGAAGATGACATGGAATCTTGAACTCCTATGGAAAGCACTCTCTACCTGTCTTAAAATTAAACCTCAAAAACAGGAAGAAAAAAAATGATAAGAGATTTGAGCTTCAGTGTGACTGGACAGAATTAAGGTATCTATAGTTAGAGGGAGCTGCTTCTGAGGGAATGGTAAAATATGTTCATATCTGTTCATACAGATATGTACTACATAATTACCTGTCTCCATTGTTACAGAACTGAACAGCAACAACTTTGTCCTAAGGCATAAAATATTTTTGGTTAGAATTAATTTATTTATAAAACAAGTAAAGTGCATTTTCCCCGTTTCACATGCAAAAACATCATGGAGTAGAATTTTTTTTTCCTTTTTGAATGCTGTAATTTTGTAAAAATAATTTGGTATGAATGCTGAACCAATGCATTAAGCATTTTAAAAACTTGAGACAAATCAGACATAAGCACACCTGCTTCTAAACCATAATCTCTAGAACCAGACAGTTTGTAATAGGTATTAACTCACTAGGTTCCCTATAATAAGATAGCATATCAACCTAAGATACCACCTTAAAATAGCTGGTTTAATTGTAGTTTATTTAAATTTTTTTAACTTAAAAAAATAAATATTTCCTGTTTCCCACATGGTTTATTTAATTACTTTGCAATAAATTCATCTGCTAGTCAGTAGGTACTATAGTTTAGATAGTACTCATTGATATTTCTTTTAAAATAATTAACCCAGAACTTTATGAAAACAATATGTGCTGTGGTGATGAGATTATGGTGTAAATCAGAACATGCATTTTTCTTTACTTTATTCCTTAACAATAAAGCTGAAATGCGCCCCCAAATGCTGAATACAATTTTACAAGCCATTCAATTATTGAACTGTATTTGAACTTTTAAAAAGCTCAGATACTGAATTTCTTTATATTTGATTATTTTTCATCTTTAAAAATTATCAAACTTTCTTCATATGCTCACAGGTATCTCTGATTCATACTGTTCCAAGACTCACTGTGGCACTTTATCTGAGAGCACCTGTGTTCTCATTGGCAGTTGCAATGATTGGTTTTAGATGTCCTGAAGGAAAATCTTATTTTCAGTGACTAACAACTGCCACTGATTCCAACGTAGTGTTTACTTTTTCTCATTTTGCTTCTTAGCTGGACTCACGCAAATAAGATTATATTAATTAATTTCTCTTCACCATTTATTTCCCTCAATTCTTTCCCATTCATATGTTCCTTCCTTCACTTTCAGCTCTCAATGAATGTTACCTGCTTTGGCAGTAACTGCAAAGATGCTTTCTTTGCAAGCTCTAGCACAATTGGACTTCTCACATTGCATGGTCTCAGACTTAGAGTTTAAAGTATTTCCTAAATTTTTCTCTTTCACAATTTAAATAATATTCCAGGATTTTAATGTTCAGGAGTAAGTAACAGTAAGTTGAGTGAGACTCTAACTTGGTTCAGTAAGTCTTCATAAGGAGACTTTCTAATTATGTTTATATGATAGGACAAAAAAGCAGGAGACAGTTTCTAAAAGCTCAAGGAGAAGGTTTCTAGTAGGAGTCAATTTCAAGGACATGATTGTGCAACTCACAAAGCATCAGTTTTTCAGGGGAAATATATGTGTTTCATTAATATACAAAACATTATTCCAAATGAGATGTCAACGGTAATTAAAACAGTAACACAGAGACTTGTAAAGCTAACTGTTTTCAATTCCTGACTATACTCTTTTGATAATGTGGTACAAGATGTACAGTGAGCTGGCACAGAAATAAATACCTACTCTACAATAAATAATCATCTGGAGAAGAGGGTAAGCAAGGAAAGAAGAGGGAGAAATGAAATAAAGGTGCACAAAGATATAACTAAGCAATAAAGGCTCCAAGTTTCCTGAAAAAGTCACAGGGGAATGGGAGGGAATGGCCAGAGAGAGGAAAAGTGCTGGCCATTAATAGCTTTCATCTCAGGCATATAGCTATTCCCTAGATGAAATGCTGGTATTAATAACTAATTAGGATTAGATTCCATCAGTCTTTTACAACATTCTGAAAACAATCATTCTATGATCTAAGATCAGTAAGCAAGCCCAGGGACCAGAGAAAGGTGGATGTTTTCAAGCATGGAGCTGCCCCAGGGTGCAGACTCCAATAAACCAGCCCCAGGACCAGCAGAAGGCAGGTGTTTGCCCCAAGGGCAGACTGGAGGAGACCAGGAAATGAGCAGAGCAGTATAGAACAGCTAGGGGACCTGTCTGTCAGTTTGTCATACTGTGGTGGCTTGAGTGTTTCTATGAGGCTGGAGGCTATGCCATCAGTGTTTAAATGCCAGCAAGGTTACCCAAGGTGGACAGACAGGTTTCAGTGGAGCTTCCACACTGAGACAGACTCAGAAGAAGGAAGAGGCCATCCACTTCTCAAACAATTGGCCAGTGAAAACCTTATGAATAGCAGTGAAACACTGTCTAATATATTACTGGAACATTTTATGAATAGCCCTGAAACACTGTCCGAAATAGTGCCAGAAGACAAGCCCATCAGATCGAAAGACACTCAAAATTTGACTGGGGAAGAGCTGACACCTCAGAGTAGGGACAACCTTAACAATACATAAAAAAGTAAAGCTTTCACAGGACCTCCACTGGCTAATGTGGCATGACTCAAAAGGAGTAGAAACAGATGCAAACATCCATTAATAATCAGAACATGGAATGTAAAAGTATGAATCTAGGAAAATTGAAAGTTGTCAAAAGTTAAATGGAACATATAAAGATTGATATCCTAGGCATTAGTGAGCTGAAATGGACTGGTTTGGGCCATTTTGAATCAGACAACCATATGATCTAATATGCCGGGATTAACAAACTGAAGAACAATGACATGACATTCATCATCACGAAGAATGTATCAAGATCAATCCTGAAATACAATGCTGTCAGTGATAGGATAATATCCATATGCCTATGAGGAATACCAGTTAATACTACCACTATTCAAATTTACACACCAACCACCAAAGCCAAAGATGAAGAAATTAAAGATTTTTACCAACTTCTGCAGTCTGAAATTGACCAAACTTACAATCAAGATGTGTTAATTATTACCACTGA